GGACTTAGACTTCAGACTTGGTACCAAAGACTTGGAAGTCAGACCCAAAGATCTGCCAATATCCCTGTTAGTTTGTTTGGGAAAGGACAAAAAAAATTGAATGTATCGAGTGATATGAGACACTCCACAGTTCCCAAAGTGTTTAATAAATAAATTTATTACTGTAAGTAATATGTCTAACAGGCTGAGTAATTTTGATGGCTGGTTGCCCTGGCCTCATTTGGTTGTGCAAAACATGGTTCCAGTGACATGCTTTCTGCTGCCCCTGTGGAAGGTGTGACATCTAACAGTGCCGTTGTCTTAGTTAAAAATAACCATGTCATTCTCTGGCAGCCACTGTTACATTGGCTTTAATAGCCGGGAGACATCCAAGAGGTGGGCAGATGGCAGAGAGTGCCTGCATTTCGATCTCTTGGCAGTGTGCCAAACATGATGGCTCATTTTTTGTATTAAAAACACCAGATAAATTTTAGGTCGGAAAATATGTGTCACAGCTGCAAGGTCTGTGGCTCTTGTTTAGACTGATAAATATTTACAGCGCTGTAGAGGCTTCCCCCTTGTGAGTAGTGTGAGTGCATAAATATATTCAGAAAGCAAATTGGCAACTCTCTGCATAAGCCCATAAAATCATCACCCTCAAGACCATACTTAGATTTCTACAAGTTCTCCCTCCACCATTCATTCCCTGTGTAGCATCTTGCATTTTTGTGTGCTTGATTGCACTGAAAATAAAAAAGCAAACAGGTCTGAAAATAAGCATCAGTATTCAACAGTGACAAGGGGGTATAAATCAGAGATGACCGAGTTCATTTCCATGTGCAATTCATGTGAAGAGTTATTCAGATCACATAGGGAATAAATTCCATGAAATAAGAGGAGATCAAAAGAAACCCAATGAATTTTAGACAAAATACTGTACAATGTGACAGACTGCCTCTAGTTTTTGGTATGTTGTAGATCTTAGTCTGTGTTATCTGTTGTTGAAATAACACCTCCTACAGCCAGGCGTTTGCAGGTGGGAGATGGAGATGTAAACTGGAGCCCATAGTTGAAACCTGCTAATGCTGAAACTGATGTAGAGTACAACTTGTAAGTAATGAGTTGAATTCCAAATACTGTATCACCAGTAGTGGCTTGCAGATTTATTTATTTTTCATAATGCTGCCATAATGAAAATGCATTTAAAAAGTAACATAACAAGTAGAGATGATCGCACCATTTTTGTTCTCACTGTAAAGTCATGTTTGAAGTTGCTTTTTCAAGTTACTCTTAAAGGCCATCCTCATTATTGTGAATCATGGAGTAATTTTCTGTGTATTTTGTGTCATTATCTTATCAGTTCTTTTTCTAAAAAATGAAAAGATAGCAAGCAACCCAGAGAGCTGACTCCCTCTTTTTTCATTGTAATGCTAACAATGAATTACCTTGTCAATGCTATGAGGAGTAATGGGATCTAATTGCTTGAAATGTCTCTCTGAAATTTGCTGTAGAGATAACCCCATGAGGTTCCTAACTGCTGTTTTGTTGTATCCAACTTCACTGGTATTGTCTAGATCCAAGAATTTTGGTTTTAAAGAGAAATACTTCCTAGGTAAGTTATAAAGATGAAAGGACTTGACAGTCAGTCGCATCTGATTTTCTCAGAGGTGCTGAGGGAGGTTAAGATACTAGAGAAGGTGATTGGTAGAACAAGCACTGACAGCCTCTGGAAAAGAGGTCACAGATGTGGATTAAGAAACAAAGCATGGGGGAATTTATCTTTTGCCCATAAGCCTTTTGTGACCTGGTTTGCTTATTCCGTGTAGAAATCGAAGAGTGTTAGATTATACTGGGATTATTATTATTGAGATATTTTCTACCTCGTTTTTTATTCCCTACATGGAGCCCTCAGGCATTTTTAAAGTTTATTCTTTTTTAAAAAACTGTATCTTTCAAAATCATAGTTGCCCCAAAGTGACTTACCATATAAAACCAAAACAGTTGACATTTTAATGATATTATATTAAATGGAATATAAAGGAAAACAGCTTCAGTAAAAACAATTTCAAAATACCCATCCATGAGGTGGACAGGATCACGGATGCCCCGTTGGCGTTCCTCCATGCTGGGACCAGGGACCCTTCAAGGCCCCCTCCCTGATGGCGACCCAGGTGACTTCACCCGCTCCGCTGGTTGCAGAGGGTTTGCAATGGTGCCTTGGCCTTGGCAACTAGCTCTCCCCAAAAAGCCAGAACACAGACTGAAGCCAGTTCTGCATTACATAGCTGTCAGTTCTGCATTACATAGCAATCTGTGCTTCCAATGCAGTCGGCTAAGACTGACATGCAGCTTGTCAGTGGGAAGGAAATGCCTCAGTTCTTCTCATATTTGGTATGGAGAAAGAAGAGGCTTGAGGCTAATAGAAAATTGTGTATGCTTAGAATTCTGAAAAAGGCAGTTTTTGCACCTGTGAACTGGTGCTATTGGAGTCAGCGCTGTGTAGGAAGGGTATTATGAAATAGCTTCTGGCTAGCAATTGAAATGTGGTGGCATTGTTGAAGTCAATATATATGGGAAGTGAAAGTGATCAAACTGAAAAATTATGCATGATTTAAACTGTAATCAAGCTTTCTGTCCCTTGAGGCAAAGCTCATTTTACATTTGGATGGCCTGTAATTTCTGAACAATAGTATAGTGCTTAAGTGAGTCTTACTTTGAATCTGGTTTGGTTGAATCTGGTTTAGTCTACTGTTTGGGAACACACAGAGATCATCTTGTCTGTATCTCTGTTATACTGTCACTTATGTGTGTAGCTATATTAAGAAACCAGAGCTGCTGGTTTATATAATATTACTCTTGACAGACACTAGAAGATGCTTCACTAGAGGTCAGGAAGCGGAGGATGGTCAGGCTGGTAAAAGGTCTCTGACAGATTGCATTATGTAAACCATTGTTTTCAGAAGCAAATTGTTGTTTGCCTCTCTCTCTCTCTCTCTCTCTCTCTCTCTCTCTCTCTGTGTGTGTGTGTGTGTGTGTGTGTGTGTGTGTGTGAGAGAGAGAGAGAGAGAGAGAGAGAGCATAATCAGATAAATCAGCATTCAGTCCTCACAGAGCCCCTAAGGACTTAAATGAAGGAAGTTTATTTGAAAATATTTGGGTGCTTAGTTCTTAAGTGCATTAGTAGGTCTTGCCTGTGTGTTTCTCAGTTCTGCACAGAAACTAATCAAAGCAGAATGGTTGGCAGTAATGAGATCTCCAAGGCCACATAAACACAACTGTTTTTATCTAGCCTTATAGCACCATTAGTATACTGCTGGCGTATTCATTTCCGCCAGCAGTGCAGGTTGATGCTTTTGAATATTTACTCTGTCTTTTTAAAAATCCTTTTCCCAAGTATAAAATCAGGTTCGAGATCTGAAGTGTTCTACGGAAAGCTGGAGCTGTCGCTGATCAGTCTGGCTTTAGCTAATTAAAACAAGTTTAACGTTGAAGTTGAAAATCTCTTGTGTTGAGTGAAAATGCCCATTTGGGGAATCTGAAAGGAGAATGGTTCTTTTAAAAATTCTACAAAGAGTGGCTTTTTAGCTCCTTATGGCAAGTTCAATTTATTTTTCTACACTGATGTCACCTGTACCCCAATGCAGGCATCATACATGTTTTACAACATCCATGTATTCACACATGAGAATGAAGGATATATAAGTACATATATGCAAGTCTTAATACGTGTGATAATGCCAGGAGTTCATGTGCTATAAATCCACACAGCATATTTTCCCTTATGTGGAGAGAGATGGGCAATTATAACATCAACCACTTATTGGGATGAAGGACGGACCCTCTTTTTAAAATATTTCATTTTACCCATTTTGGGAATCTCTGGACTGTAGAATCTTCCCTGGTAAATCAAAGAAGACAACAATGTACTCTTGAGAGAGTTTTGCATAGTTCGAATAGTGTCATAGTCTGCATATAACTCCATTAATGTAGTTCCTAAATAATGGAGTGTTGTTGTTGTTTTTAATTGAAGGGCGGGATGGAACATAAATTACATTGTGTGTCCTGGCAGGAAAATGGTCTAGAAATGGAGCATATAAATAAATAAACTTCTGTGAGGCTCTTTTCTTCTTGAATTTTTCAGGTAATAGTTGTAGACAGAGCATTCAAGTTTTAAATAAATTTTAATAGAACAGATTATGCTATCATAGCACCTTCTCGGTGTGTGAAGTAATTCTTGCAATTACCGTCATGCTTCCTACATTTCAGGTTATTGTGAAGGTCTGTAGATCCTCTGGGCTGCAGAAAGCCATATTAAAGTTTAGTACCATGGCAACTCAGATCCTGTGCGAAAGAGAGCCAAGTTGTACAATTTCCATGGGGATTTGTTTGTTGTTTCTGTCACAGCAGACTAACAGGGCTAGATTACTCCACTGCCACAAAAGACGTAAAGAGTATTGTGGCATATTTAAACACTAAGCATGCTATTTGCTTTTGTTTAAATGTGCCACTGAACACTTTAAGTCTGTGGGAACTGGTGCAGCCTGTGAAAGCTTATGCAACAACCCTTTGATTAATACAGTAAGACCCTACTGGGGGGCTGTAACTCTTATAGCACCCACCTGCCATGGCCGGTGGCCATGCTTGCTGTAGGATTCTGGAACTTGTGTGTGTGGGGGGGAATGAGCTTTCTAAGCTTTGCTAACAACCTGTTTGAAACTTCACTCTAAACATTTCAAGTGGTAGTTTGTTATCCTGGGAAGAGCACTAAAGAACTCCATTTCATTTCATATAACTGTCTTTTCTCAAGAAAAAAATTCTGTAGGCCATATTTTGTGTGAATATGTATGTATATCACTAACATTCATCGTCCTGTCCTTTGCCTTCCATTAGCTGGGGTGGAAGGCTGTAATTATTAATGTCATTGCTTTTCTTTCTTTCTTTCTTTCTTTTTTAACCATTTTTGTCTGCATTTTCCATTCATTTTGTTCACATGTGCTTTTTGTTTCTGTTATGTTATGTAGTCTTATACCAGTGGTTAGAAGCTGATCGACATGGCAAGAGCTCAGATACTACAGACAGAACATCAGGTAAAAAAAGAAGAAGTGGGGGCTGGCTTACTAACTTAAATCCACGTTTTCTGTTTCCTACTTTTACCTTGTAGCTTTGTATCCATTCAGTTTAACACTTTCCCTTCTAAATCTTTAATCAATTTTCAATAATTGCATCAGATTCCTTTCCCCCTCATCTTTTTGCTTTTGTATGCCTGATATGAAGTTATCTTTCAGAAGTGGAGTGAATAAAAAGCAATGTTTTCTTTTATTAAAATGTTTTTAAAATTGATTTTTAAAGGTTTAAATTAGATGATTTTTGTTTTTATTGCTGGAAAAAAACAGGGAGAATTCTAGGAATTCCAGCCCATAGATACAGACCTGCAGACACCTGTGTTTCATTCTACTGGAGAAAGGCCTGGTGCTGAGGCTGCATGACTTCCTTCCCTCCTGTTAGAAAAGGTGGCAGCTGCATTGAGAGTGGTAGTTCTTGGGAAGGTTTCCTCTAGAGAGTCTAAAGGGCGGTGAAACTAGAAGCTCCATGGCAGCTTATACAGTCGTGCCTCGCTTAACGATTGCCTCGCTTAACGAGGAAATCGCTATACGATTAGGTTTTTGTGATCGCTTTTGCGATCGCAAAATGATGTTTTAAATGGTTTTTTTTGTTTAACGATGATCGGTTCCCTGCTTTGGGAACCGATTTTCCCTTTACGACAATCAGCAAATCGCTGATTGTCGGGTTTCAAAATGGCTGCCGTCGCTGATTATCGGGTTTCAAAATGGCTGCCAGATGAAGAAAACAGCCCCCCCGCTGTTTTCTAGGATGGATTCCTCGCCTTACAGGCACCGAAAATGGCTGCCGTATGGAGGATCTTCGCTGGATGAGCAGGTATTCAGCCCATTGGAACGCATTAAACGGCTTTCAGTGCGTTTCAATGGGTTTTTCCATTTCGTTTGACGATGTTTTTGCTCTACAGTGATTTCGCTGGAACAAATTAACATCGTCAAGCAAGGCAGCACTGTATTTTTTTTCCACAGGAAGTAAGACTGAAGAAAACTGTGCACTTCAGTGCTGGGTCCTTCTCCAGATCAGTGTTGGCCTGCGATTTGGAACTCCCCAAATTCTATCTGGGTGGGGTTTTTTTTGGAAGAATTCTGGGACTAGAATCTCCCTTCAAAAAGCATCTCCCTAATGCTTCTATAGCTTTTATGTATCTATTATTTGGTTTAACCTGAATTCTCCCTAGTAATCAATTGAGTTGATATCATTGCAAAACTGTGCAATTTGCAAACTGAAGTTTAGTCTCTACATATACACACTTTTAAAGAGCAGAATATGGAGATGAGGAATAATATAAGCGATACGTTAGAATTGGAAAATGAAACTAAAGTTATTTCTGGATATATATTTTCCCTATCGACATGATATAATGCTGGAAATTCTTAAAAGATCTGTTAACCTCAGGAATTGATGTTAGTAGCTTCTCTAAGTAATGCTGAGTTCTTTGGAATGTCCACACTGACCCTTTGAGTCAAAACTATAATTGTGGACATTTGAAGTGTCCATGAATACAGGATTATTGGGGTGGAATAAACTTGTGCAAAGATATTGAGAAAAGTATATATTAACATTATAGCAAGTAAGAATGCACTTTGAGGAGAGAAAATATAATCACTTGATTAAATTGAGTCTTTCTGGGTAGTTATTTAAATTGTGATTTAAGTCACTTTGAATTAAATCAAATTTGCCCTGCTCAGAAGAGGGTTGGCCTTTTCTCCAATCTTGTAATAGGTGCTACTGATCCTCTGACCCCGATTTTTAGGATCTCCTTCCCACGTGAAGTGCAGTAAACAGGATGCCAAAATATTTCCTCTATTTTTATATGCATGCATAGGCATTTAATGTTCTGGTCTTCCGCATGTCCCCAGAGTGGCTTCTGGTGTAATTTAAGAAGCAAACAATGGCTGGAATCTTGTTTGTGTCGCTCTATGCATGAAAACCTGATGATGTTATTAGCCACAGCCTTTGTTCTTTACTTACAGTTGTTCCTCTCCTCATCCCACTCCCCAGGTTCCAAAGCTACCTAGGGACCCCTTTCAGTGTGAGGAAATCTTTGGAGACCTAGTGATGGAGGACAGTACCTTTAATGTCTGAAAATTGCAGCTGGCAGTCCTGGCCCAGAGCTGCACCAGGAGGATTCAGGCCAATAAGTTAAAATTCAAAATGATAGGTATCTGAAGTGATAAAATCCAAGTTAAAATAGAAATGCAGCAGGCCCAGAAAAACGAGAAGTAGTGGCCTGACTAATTTCTGAAAACAAGATGATGTGACTAATGACTGCTGGCTATCTGCTACGTATAGAATCAGAAAATAGCATAGCCTTCTATATCAGTCACTAGGGAATACAGTGGTGCCCCGCTTGACTATTACCTCGGCAGACAATGAAATCGCTTAACAATGAGGTTTTTGCGATTGCTATTGCGATCGCAAAACGATGTTTCAGTGGGGAAAATCCGCTTCACGATGATTGGTTCCCTGCTTCGGGAACCAATTTTTTGCTTCACGATGATATTTACAGCTGATCGTCGAGTTTTCAAAATAGCGGCCCGCTGTTTTCCGGACCTTTTCCTGGAAGACAGCGATTGAAAATGGCTTCCCCTATGGAGGATCTTCGCTGGACGATGAGGTATTTCACCCATTGGAACGCATTGAACTGGTTTTCAATGCATTTCAATGGTTTTTTTCTTTTGCTTGACGACAATATTGCTTAACAGCAATTTTAACGGAATGGATTAATGTCGTCAAGCAGGGCACCACTGTATTAGAAAAGGATATTTGCCCTCATGACCTACATGAAACCTTCCCAGTGGCATCTGTCTGTTTTGTCCTTATGGGAACTAAGGCGTCGGAGCTTTTAGTCATATCCAAGAAAGGTCTTCTTAGGTTCTTTTGATGAAGACAGTGAGGTGCCATGGTCTTTAGCCAGTGAGAGGTTCATAAGTCATTGCAGGCACTTGCACCTAGAAATGGACAGGAAACCAGTGTATCTACAATAATACGTTCATGGAATTGTAGAGTTGAAAGACACTCCGTGTGTCATCTAGTTGAACCCCGAACCAGTGCAGGAAATCCACAGCTAAAATATTTCTTATACAGTACATAGCTATCTGATCTTTGTCTAAAAACCTCTAACAAAGGAGAGTCCAGTACCTTTCAGAATGATCTATTGCACTGTCAAAAAGCTCTTACCATCAGGAAGCTCTTCCTAACATTGGAATCTGCTTTCTAGTAATTTGAATACACTGGATTCAAGGCCTGCTCTCTAAAGCAACAGAATCAAGCTTATGTCATTGCCAAGAGACACCACTGCAGGTATCAGCCCCTAACCTGCTGTGATGTGTTGCTGTCATTTGGTCCCAGTGGGTGATCTACCATATAGATACTTGCCTTGTTTGCGCTTACAGTCAGTGCATTTTTGAGCCATTCTGTTGTTGTTCAGTAGGTTTAGTGTTATACTCTGTGCATTGAAATCATAGGATTTTTAGCCTCAGCACAGGTGAATTAATTGTTCTCAGTGCCAGAGCTTGCATAGCAGCTAGGCCAAATCCTGTTCCTGTGCTGATCCTCTAGCACAGGGGTCCCCAACCCCTGGTCCACGGCCTGGTGCCAGTCCATGGCCTGGACCAGGCCGTGGAGACAGATCTCCCACCCACCCCACACGCACTCCCGCCCCCTGCACAGCCCCTTTGCGCATGTGTGTGCAAGTGCGCCCCACCCATTTGTGAGTGTGCACAAGTGTCTCCCGAGCACCCCTCTGCCCTTTGCGCCTGTGTGCAAGTGCATGCGCACCTGCACAAGCGTGTGTCTGCTCCTTCATGCATTCGCGCGATCTCAGGGATGTTCCCCGCCTTCACCATCTGGTCCATGGAGTTAAAAAGTTTGGGGACCACTGCTCTAGCAGTCCACAATTCAGACAAGGAAAAACTCAGAATGGGCTTGGGTGACAGAGCAAATCTATTTTATGTGTTAGACCAGTAGTCCCCGACCTTTTTGACAGTGCGAACTGGTTTTGGGGGGGATGGGGTCTGTGCTTGGGGGGGGGCACCCCCTTTGCTCGCACGCATACGCGAAGGGGTGGCACTGTCGCGCTGGCGCATGGGCACTCATGCACATGCACAAAGGGGCAGAGGCACTCATGTGGTTGGCACACATTCGTGCATACACGAAGTTGTGGAGTGTGTGCACAGGGCACTCGTGTGCATGCGTGAAGGGGCTGTGCATGAAATTTAGAAGAAGGTGGCTTCAGTTGTTGCCTGACCTGAAGTGGGTCCTGAATCTAGTTAGGTGAAGATTCTGCCAGGAGTATCTAAACCAGGTAACGTTTACACAAACCAGCATACTGTAGTGGAAGGCAAATGGCAGATTGCAATAAACCAGCAGCTGAAATTTGTAATCCCTTATATTTGTGAAGAAGACTCACAAATATAAGGGATTACAAGTACATCCTATACTTTTAGCAACAAACTATGCTTCTTATGTTTGAACTAGACATAGTACTTGCTTCTGCATTTTTATGTAACCCAAACTATAAGAAATCAAAAGACAGATCCATTGAGATGGAAGATTTACTAAGGAAAGCTAAACTAGTTTAATTAGAATTGACAGCTGGAAAAGATGGCTACCATGACATATAAATACCATAGATTCTTCCTGAGGCAGTCAGAGATATTTTTACACTTCAATAGAATTTTTAACTAGAAGCTTAAAATGTTGCTGTCTGAAGTAGACACAAAAGGGTTTGTCGAGTGTAATAAGGATTCTATTTGTGTAGTAATTTAAAATACTATGATCATAATAATAACAATTTAAAAATGCCAGACATAGTCAATCAAAATTATAAAAATATTGACTGGTACAAGTTTTAACCAAAAACCAAAGTATCTGTTAAATATTGGTGCAGTATGTATTCTGTTCTTAATATTGCTGGGTTTTTTGTGGCTCTGATTCTGTTATTTTTGAGATCTGCTACTGCTTATAA